CAGTCCCTCCTCCCTAGAGGGAACCCTCCCTGGCTTCTCTCCCACTGGCCAGAGCCCAGCCCACATGACCTAAGCCTTAACCACAGTCACCAGCTTCACTGCCCAAAGCAGCTGAGTTCTTCTCTCGGCACTGTCATTCAGAGATTCCCAAAGGGCTCCTAGAAAGTAGGAAGTCTAGCCTCACCCTGGACATACAGGCAAAGGGGCTCAGAGAGGGACTGACACAGGCCCTAGGTCACACAGTAAGGTGAGACAAACTTGGGACTAAGTCTCCAGCCTCCCAATTCAGGGCCACCCCATGCATGTGGATGACAGGGGTGGACTAGCCCAAGGAGAAGAGGGCATGGGCTGAGCATGACCTACTAAGGGCACACCCTGCCTGAAACCCTTCTAGAGGACTCACTGCCCTCAGGATGGAGGACCTCAGCACCCCAGCCTGCCTTTTAAGTGCCAGCACAATCTGGCCCCGACTGATACCTCAGTGCTTTCTCTCCCTCCTTTCTTCCCTCCCTTACACTTACACCATACCCACTCACTATTCCTGAAACATGCCAGCTTTTTTCATAACTCCTGGCCTTTGCATACATTCCAGGGCCCTTCTACCTGGAATCTTGACTAGTAAATTCCCTCCTGTGGTTCATGGTTCAGCGCAGGTACCACCTCTTCTAGGAAGCCTTCCCTGACTACTCCCAAGCTGTCAAGAGCATCTGTGTTTTCTTTTATCCCCTCCTGACTATATGTGTAATGTTGTCTGGATCAGGGTCTTTCCCAGCTCTGCCCCCAAAATTGGGGGATTAATCCAGGACAGGGCATGTCCAGAGGGAATAGTTCTGAGCCCTCACAGGTCTGCAGCCTTGCCCAGCACAGGGCCAGGCTCAGACATAGGTTCAGGAAGGATCTGTGGGACTGTGGCCTTCATAGGAAGGCCCAGACCATAGGCCCTGGCATGAGCCTCCTCTGACTCCTGACCTGTCTCCCAAGATGGGCATCAATTTTTCACAAGGGCCCATTCAGAGGCACTGGGGCATTTGATCCTCTGCCCATGACACTGCCTGATACCTGAGCCCTAACCTCTGCCCTGGAGCTCTGGGATACAGCAAGCACGTTGCCCTTCCCAAGACCTGCACCCATCTGGGTGCTTGGCCAGAAAGTGGATTCAGCAAAGGCCAGCAAGCAGCTGCCATGGGGCACGATGTCTGAAGATGGTACCCAGTCCTTAGTGCCTGCACCCTATGCCAGCATGAACCACGAAGGCCAGAGAAGAGCCCAGGGCTTTGTTAAAGATTCAGGGCTCTGGAGGATGGAGGAGGGTGGTGAGGACACACATTTTAAGAGCCACACGTTAGGGAAAACTATGAGATATACATTTTATTTCAAAAAATGAGAACTATACCATGTTTAAGTCCATTTCTTTTCCAGTTGACAACAGGGAACACAGATTGTATTGCTATTTCTATGCCCATGCTTAGTATCACCTCATCCCTACAAGCCTGGCTGGTGGGGCTCTGTGGTTCCCACTCACAGGTAGGAAATTTGAGGCTCAAAGGAAGGAAGTGACTTACACAAAGCAAGAGATAAAGAGTATCAGAAAGAAAGCAAACTAGTAAAAGAGACAGGGACAGATGTCTCTCTCTGCTGTCCCAGCATATCTGCTCCTCTGGCCCCAGGATGCCCCACACCCTAGTCTCAGCTCATAGATGATTTGATGGACACCATGCCCTTTGCCTCTTCCCTTCTCCAGAGTACAAGCCTCCATCCTTTTAAGCTCAGGACAGTGTCATACACTGGCTGCTGTGACTGAGCCTTCAAGGGCAGCAGGAAGCCCAGGCCCAGGAGCAGGTGGCTATGGGGTCAAAGGCTCCAGAGGCAACTCCCCCAACATCCAGCAACCCCCCTCCCAATGCCCAATGGCCAGCCCATTCTTACCTGGGTCCCAGCTGCCTACTCTCAGTGCCCCAGCAGCCTTGTTACAGCGCCCACCTGCACAGAAGACTCAGGAAGCTGGGGTCACACACCCAGGACAGTCTGCAAACATGCTTCCCTCTTGCTCCAAGGGTCACTCTGGATGTCTCCCTGGGTCTTTCTGTTTCTAGCTGTCTCCCTGTGTACTGTTTCTCCCTTTCTTTCTTGCCCAGGGCAACTGTCCAGCCGGCACTGCCACCCTCCCCTCCTCACTCCAGAGCCTTCTCCCAGGAGGCGGAGCTGAAGGGGGCCTCCAAGGTCTGGGTACAGTGACATCAGCGTGGGGGGCGGGCTATGCTGGGGCTGGGACTTTCATCCAGAGGCTGCCCAGGGCTCTGTGTGGCCGATGGCAGGCCACTGGCAGGCTGATGAGGAGGCAGAGAGCAAGGGTCTCTCCTTGACTGTGCTGTTGACCGGTGTAGGACCTGGGCCTGGGGCCCACCCTGGCCTCAGGTGTCTGCTGTCAGTTGTAGTACCTGGCCTACTATCTCCGAACCTGGACATGAAGCCCTGTCCAATCCTGACCTGGTCACTGATGTTCTGGGGCCTCAGCCCTCGCCTGCCCTGCTCCAGGGAGGCTCGCCCTCCCTAACATGGCTGGGACTCTGAGAGGGAATGGCCAGGCTGGGCACAGCAGGAGGCAGAGTGCCCAGCAAGGCCCACATTCTGGCGCCTTCTCCCCTTCCCTGAGCACACACCCCCCTGCTCCAAACCCACTTCCCCTGAGGGCTCCCTTCAGCTGTGTCCCCAGTATGCTTATCAATTCAACACTGCCCCCCACAGGATGCATGTTATTCTACAAGGCCTGACAATTAAGTTCATGAACTTCCCACCATGCATTTATGTTGGCAGCACTGTCTAAACAACTCAGGAAGGGTTCATAACCTTTGGTATATCAGTGTCTCACAGTTGGGTTCATCTTGATGGATGGCGTTATCTTGCTGAGTGGTTTTCATTATTGTTATTGTGTGCTTTTGTGTGCCCTTATGAGAATGTTGGAGCTTGCATTAAGGTAACCAACAAACATTACATTTCTTGTTAAACTTGGCAAAAGTAGAAGTGAAACAAGGGACACATTAGTCCAAGTTTGTGGGATAATACCCTGAAGAAAACAGCAGTACACAAATAGATTAAATGTTTTTCGGAGGAGAGAGAAAGCATCACTGATAAGAGAGGGCAGGGAGGCCAGTAAGGAGCAGAACTGATGAAACACTGCAAAATCACAGTGAGTAAACAACAATACAGAAGCAGTGGGGAAAATCTTAACTGAAAATCTTGGCCAATAACTAATGGTTCTTGCATCACAACAACGCATCAGCTCACATGATACTATCTGCGAGGGAGTATTTAACCGGTAAACAAAAACTGTATCGGAATATCCTTCTTCAAAACCTAACCTGGCTCCCAATGACTTTTTTTTCTTTGCCTGAAGATAAAGGAAATATTAAAAGGAAGACATTTTGATGACACTCAGGACATCATGGGTAATATGATGACAGCTCTGATGGCCATCCCAGAAAGAGTCTAAAATTGCTTTTAAGGGTGGACTAGGTGCTGGCGTTGGTGCGTAGCTTCCCAAGGGGAGCACTTCAAAACTGATAATAGTGATATTAAGGAATGAGGTGTGTAGTGCTTTTTCCAGGATGAGCTTGCAAACTTGGCAGACCTCATATAATCACCCAGAAACTTGGCCAAATTAGCTAGTTAGGAACAACCCATACGTAACAGCTCACATAAATCGAAGTGGAATATGATATAAAAGGGAGGGGTGTTGACAGCAAGGAGCACACACAGTCTCTATCACTGGTGCTGGAGAAGACAGTGACCTGCAGGCTGCCCTGCTGAGACCTGGCACTTCCTCCTTCCCCTCCACCTGCACCGCACCTGGCAGCTGCCTACTGGCCCCTTCTCCGGGGGCAGCTCTGGGCTGGCTAAGGGTGGATTCCCCAGCCTCCCTAACTGGGATGCGTCTGCAAGGAAACTGCCTGGAAGCAGGGTAGAGTGTGGAGGGGTGGAGTGCGGAGGTGAGAACCAATGGCCCAATAGTGCCACCTACTGGGCATAGGCACCAGCTGCTCCCCTGGTACTAAATAAGGTCCAGCAGCAACAGCGGTAGGAGGCAGCCTCTGCTGGGACCCTGAGGGCCCGAGATGCTAGGCACACTTTAGCCTAGCAGCTCTGGCCACAGTTGCCCTGGAACCTGCCACTCCTCAAATGCTCTTTCTTTGAGCCTTCCAGGTGGCATCAGTCTAACACAGGTGGGAAAAGTGAGACCCAGGGAGAAGCATGAGTGTGCCCGAGGCTCATGCCTGGCAGTGGGGACAGAGCACAGGTGAGCTGTAGAGATAGGAGACAGAGTGGCCTCCGAGCATTGCACTCAACACCTCCAGGAACCAGGCACTATGGCATGCAGCTCACCTGACTCATAATGCCCACTTCTTACGACCCTGTGAAAATTTGGAAATCTTGATTTACTTCACCATCACACCACACTCAAGCCCCTTTCCCCCAAGTCCAATTTATCATTGGATTCTGTCTGCCCTGCCTTCAAAATCTATCCCAACCCTGCTTCTCCCTGCTGCCACCCCCAGCTTTGGGGCCGAGCTGCCCACAACTGTTCTCAATAGCCTGGCCCACACAGCCCATCTCTGGTGGCCGGCATGGATGGCTCTGCCTCATCATCGGACCACAGTGTAGCCTCCTTTATCCCAGAAAGCTAACAGAGCCCTCAGTGAGCCCCCAACACTGGCGTTTGTCACCATCAGAGTATTTGTATTTGCTCTCCCTACTAGTTTTAGACTGTTCCAGAGCAGGGACTGTTGGATTCCTGCACCCCTGGTGCCTGGGATGGTGCTCGGCACAAAGCTGGTCCCACGTCAGTTTGCAGGAGGGAGGGAAAGGATTCCCAATGGTAATGCAGCAGGGTCCTCACTCTCTCATCCCTCTGACCAGAGGATAGTCACCCAGGCCTGAGAAATATTCCCGCCATTCTCCCTTCCCCTAGAAGGACAGACAGACACAGGAAGGTCTTTCTGGCATTGTGGTAACATTTATTCTGAGCACAGGACAGGCCTCCTCTCCCCTGACCTGTGGTGGGCCTAAGGAGGGAAGCCCAGGTCTGGGTGTGTAGGCTGAGGCCCCACCCATGTGCAAGTGGGGACTCTAAGGCCTCCATTAGTGCATAAAGTGAACAAAGCAACTGCCCTCTCCAGGGCCTCCTGGGGACAAGAGAGGCCTGCATAGCCAGGAGCCAGCCTGGCCCAGCTCCGTAGGCAGAAAGCAAGGGCAGGGGTGTGTGGGGTGGGAGGCAGTGCCTGGCCCCAGGCTGAAGCCCACACAGGCCTGCCACTTGGCCCTGGTTTGCTCCTATATCCCAGGGAGACATGGCTGAGCAAAGACCCAGGACTCAGTGCTGGGGCCTATGCTGGCTTCCCCAGCACCCACCTCTCTAGCCCCACCACAGGAGCTTCATTTGAAATAGACGTTGAGATGTGGGACTACACGAATGCATGTATAGTGGGTGCACATACAGATACACGTAGAGAAAGGAGTAGTTTTGCCCTTATCCAGCACTTGTTACTAAGAGTGCTGGCAAACAACAATCACTGGCCCCACTCTACAGAAGGGGGAAATCGAGGCACAGGAGGTTTAAGTAACTTGCTCCTGGTCATGCGCAGAGTGCTGGCCCCGGGCCCAGGTTCTCAAGGGGAGGTCTCAGCTTGTCCTCCTTGTCTTTCAGTTCCTGGCCCCTCACTGTCCAAGGCCTAGGAGCAGAGCCAGCCACAGGGGCAGGAGGCAAAGTCAGAGAAACCTGCACCTCTAGCCCGGTCACCTGGCCAGGAGGTGGGCTCTGGAGTCAAAAAGTCAGGTTCCCAAGAGGAATTTCCATACATGAACCAAGTGGGTCATGGCACCAACACACAAGAACATGGCTGTGCCAACTTGCAAGACACCCAACTTCAAAACACCCTCTTTTCATCCACTTCAGGACCTCCTCTGAGGACACCTTCCCCAGTGTCCCACCTCAAGTGGAATCTAAATCAGGAGACCCACAAAACTAGAGTTCAAGAAGAAAAGGGAGGTTCAGCCTTTACATTTTCTTTAAAACCCACTGGTTAAAAGTGAGGATTTTAAAACCAAAAGAATATAAAACATTAACGATTCAAAGGAACATTTTGGTCCAGGCAGCAAGAAATGCACTGTAGCCTCCTTGGCTGCATTTGAGGGAATGGTGGTGGATTGGCCTCTAGGCAGGTGACAGAGTCACCATCTCCTGCAAGCCCAAGGGGTGGCCTGACTCCGGTAGGCCTGGTACTACCTACCCCAGAGTCCCTTCTCTCAGGAAAAGCTGGGGTCTTTGCAGGGCTCTGGGAGCCTGGGAGCACCTGCCTCCTCCTCAGGTCCCATGGTCCTCCATGACGAGGCCCCTGGCCCACTAACCCAGGCGTGCATCAGCAGAGGAGGCAGGAAAATACCCCTTCCTCACCCCCACTACCCCCACTCTCTGGGAACCTGAAACCAGGGGCTGGGAATGAAATCAGAACCTGGAATGAACAGGCAGCTGCAGCAACTGCGCAGGCATCTGAGAGGACCTGAGGACAGAGGCAAGGCCCAAGGCAGAGGCCAGGGAGGCCCCCACTATACTCAGAGGCTCGAGAGTGTCATATATTCATTTGGCAAACCTCTGTTGAATAAATGGATAGGTTAGTGGACAGAATTACAGAATGAACAACTGTCACCTGCATGTTGACCCATTTCGTGCCTGAGCAGGAACCCAGGAGCCAGTTCTCTCAAGGTGGCAGAAAACCAGGTGTAAGTGATAGGGAAAGTGAGTTCTGGGAGACTCAGGTGCGCTTGGGATGCAGGACAAGAATGGAGCTCGGGAACATGGTAGTATGTGTGTAAACAAGTGACATCTTCTTGGCATGCCTAAGCAGATAGCATGGCCTTGGCAAAGTGTTTTCAACGGATAGAGTCCCTTAACAGTGGTGACTCTGGGGTGGGGAGGGCTATTTTAGACCTCAGGCAAAAAAAATGCCCCCATAAGAAGGGAATGTTTTGGGGCCTTCAGGATACTGAGGCTCAGAGTGGGGGCAGAGACTTCCCAAGGTCACACAGCAAGTCAGTGGAAGACTGGGAAAAGGACCCCAGCGTCTTAGGTCTCAGACTAGTCCCAGGCCTGGTGGGGACATGCAGATGGTAGTGAGAACTGTCAGAGCCAGGTAGCTGGGCAGGTGTCAGACAGCCATAAGTGAGGCACTGCTGAAGACACGCACACCAATGGTGCCTGGGAGGTCGCTGGACTGCCGGCGATTCCGGTCCCGGAGATGGAGGGTGTGCAGGGCCTGGAGGTCATCTGGGTCAGCCTTCAGGTGCACCTGGCCCAGGAACTCGTCCTTCAGGATTCGGTGGTTCCAGATCTGGGAGGAGAGAGATTGTGAAAGGGGCTGGCTCCAAGGTAGGGGTAGCAGGGCCTTGAACCTGCTTCCCACAGTGCAAGCTTGGCTGAGGAAGAGGAGGCCTGGATTATCTGCCTCCCCATGAAACTTGGACAAGGTCATGCCCCTCCCAGAGCCTCAGGTATCCCGTCTGTCAAAGCTCTTTCCAGGTATATAGTTAAATCTATTACTATTAGCTCTGCTATTGACCTTGGGTAAACTTGGACAAGTGAAATGCCCTCTGCCCTAGTTTCTCCATCTTTAATATGAGGGTTGGACCAACTGACCCTAGGGTCCTTCCAGCCCCGATATCTATGAGTCTGACTTGATCCAGTGAGACCCAGTGTTAAGGAAAACTAGAAAAGCTACAGTGGCTCTCCCACGACACTTGAGTGTTTACAGATGGTTTCTCACCCAGCAAGATGATGACCGAAGCCTGGTGGGACAGAGAGATTTCCTAGTGAGCACAGAATCACTGTCTACCAGCCACTCTGGGCTGGGAGGAGAAGGAAGAAAATGCCCGAACACACTGGCTTTCTGAGCCCGGCTCAAGGCTCTTAAGGGTACAGCCACACCCACCACATCCCATCTCACTGGAATATTTCTGGTGGATCCACTGGCTTTGGATGAAATCAGCAGAGATGACCACAGAGTCTCTCCAGCCAGGAGACTGGCCCTACTGGGTCCAGAGTCATGCTGGCTAACCAACATTCCCACCCATAGAAAGGCAGACAAGAGAATTCCCAAGGCTACCTCAGGGGTCAGAGGGGATAGCCAGAAGCCAGCATGCTTAGGCTTCTGACTATCAAAGGCACCCTGGTCCCTGCCCCTCTGAGTAAGGAAGCCTCAGGCTGGGGGCCCTTCGGACAGGTGGCCTCACCTGGACAGTAATGGGCTGGCCCGGCTTCTTGCGGTAGAAGACGCCTTTGATGTCATACTCGGGTGTAGAGGTACCCTTCTGCACGGCCGAGCGGACTTTGTCCCCCTCGCACTTGATAATCACATAAGAGTCTGCCCCTAGAGAGTAGGAGTGGAAGATGGGGAGAGGCTGGGGCAGAAGCAGGGCCCAGATGGGACAGAGAGCTGGGGGGCAAGATGCCCACCTGAGCTCAGTTATTCAGAAGGGGAGACTGGAGCCTGACCCACTTCAGGGCCCCTTAACTTCCAAGATGGCAGCCCCTGCAGGGCACACTAGTCATCTCCAGCCTCCAGGCCTTACCCATGCTCTTCCCTGACCCAGAGCACCCTTCTCCCCAATCCTCTATAAAATCAGGCTTTATTCCTTAAGACGTCCTCAACTTGGAAAAAGCCACCTCTTCCAGGGAAACTTCCCAGACCTTCCCTCCCAGCTCCTGCTCCTGTATCTGGCTGCCCCACCCCATTGGGAGCTCTGTGATAGAAGGAGGTAGACCTGCTTCTCTCCACGGATGGCTGGGCATACAGCTGAAGTCAGGAAAAGACTGCTAACCTGCTAAGTGAGAGAAGAGCTCTAGAGGCTGGCATCTACACTGGCAGGGAGAACGCATGGGGACAAGCAAGCCAGAGGGCTTTCTGGGAGAGCTCACCTGTTGGGGAGTCCTTGAGGCCAACAGCCCTCAGGACATGTACCTGGGTCACCTGCTTGGGGTAGCCACACAGGGAGCTCCAGCAGGTGCGAGGAGGTTCATCCAGGCGCAGCTCCCTGTTATGGGGCAGGAGAGCCAGGTGGGCAGTGATGCAGGAGCACCAGGGAGACAGAAGGTAAGACAAAGTTTTAAGAAGTAGAGGGGAAAGAGGAGCAGTATTTAGCCCAGATATTTGTCTAGTCCTGGGCACATCTCTGTGGGCAGTCCCCAACCACCTAACTCCCACAAGGTTCCCACCTTCTCTATCCTTAGCAAGGGTACCCTTTCTTCCCCCAAAGGAAAGTAATTTACTGAGCACCTGTCGTGTGCCAAGCCCTCTGCAGGGTACTGCAAGTCTGATTCCTAATTCTCACAAAGCCCTGGCAAACAGCAACTATTGTCACACCCATGATACAGATTAGAAAGAAGCAGCCTTGTCCAGGTGAAAGACTTGCCCATATAGCTGGGAAGTGGGGGACCCTGGGCCACCTGGCTCTACCACACCACAAGCTACCTCCTGGGTCTGGCATGTGGGCAGGGCTCACTCATCCTTCTGGAGATGCTGAGTCTAGGATGCATACCAAGGTGGGGAAGGCAGTGTGGGACCCACAGGGTCTGTACCCAGCAAGGAAGGGGATGATTTCAGCAGTCCTCTGGACCATGGAACAGGGGATGTGGTGACAAAACCATGACCGTGGCATCAGATAGGCTGAGTGGCCCAGCCCACCTTCACCACTAGCTGCACGATCCTGGGAAACCCATCCAACCTAATCCCCTCTTCTCATCCCTAAACTGGAGGGGTCAGGCCTTTCACTCAGGGGTGCGAGAAGATCAAATAACATGAGTGAAAGCTTTGTAAACGGTGGAGTGCAGTGCACATATGAGAAGTATAGTCATGGCCAGAGATGCTGGGACAAGGGAGCAGGAGAGAGAGGAAGGAGATGGGTACTGGTGGCCTCTGGGCAGCTGAAAGCTCCCTTCCTCGGGTACACACTGACCATCTCTGGGGCTCAGGGTCCAGGTCAGTCCAGTATGGACATCGCCCCCCTACTCTTCCCAGCCCCCACGCACCGGCAGTTAGAGGGCACATCAGTGAAGACTCGGAGCAAGAACTCGCCCGTGTGGCCTGGCTCAAAGGTGGTGGGGATGATGACGTAGCGGCCCTCGGGCTGGTCGGTGCGCAGGAAGACACTGCGGGAGTTGATGTAGATGGAGCTGGCGGCCTTGTGCTGCAGGCTGTGCATGCGGTACTGGCGGTTCTCCTCCACCTGTGGGGGACGCGAGGGGCTGGGCCACCAGAGCCCCCACCACACCACCGCGAAAGGGGCGAGAACATCCCTTTATATGAAACATCCAGAATAGGCAGACCTTTAGAGACGGGAGCAGCTTAGTGTTTGCCTAGGGCCAGGGGAGGGGCTGATGAGAGTCAGTGGTGGAGGCTGAGGGAGTGGGTTTCTTTTGGGGGTAATGAAATCCTCTAAAACTGTGGTAATGGTTGTACAACCCTGTGACTACACTAAAAATCAATGTATAGTCTGTTTAGTCTACACTAAAAATCATGTATAATCTGTGAATTATATCTTAATAAAAGCTATTTAAAAAGTAGGGTTGCCATAGGAAGCCCCCGGGCAACAATGTCCAAAGGGTTTCTGTCACAAAAGAACCAAGTATCAGGGTCAGCCCATAACCATGAAAGGACACTGCCAGCTGCTAGGTCATGCTAGATAATCTTGAAAGTAAATGCCATGATAGTGAAGTGGCACTAGTGAAGATCATGACATGCCAAAGTCACAACAGAGTGACACATGTCAATATACAATGAATGTACCAGTTCAATGATGACAGCAAATTGCTATGACATGATCAAGCACGTCAAATGCCAGGAACTAAGCATGAACCAAGCCCCTAGAATACCCTGTGGTTTCATTAAGCTCGTATAGCCTGACAAGAGAGTAGGGACCTACTATGTGGACTCTCACCACATACTGGACATCTCAACATATAGAAGGCCTCAGGTTCCAGGCCAGGGCAGTGGCTAGGTCAGCATGCCTGGCTGTGCCCAAGGAGGCCTCCTCCCTGTGCTCAGCAAGGCCTCCAATGCAGGGAGGTTGCAGGAGCTGCCAGAGGCCCTGAGCCTTGAGGCAGGAGCCAAGCCAGGGCCAGAAGACAGCCAGGACTTCCCAGACCTCTGCCCTTAACCAGCAATCCTCCCCTTCCTTATCCATTGAACAGCCCTGGCTATGGGTCTTGGGCAGAAAGAAGTCAGGCTAAGAACTTCCATAGAAGCCAATCCCAGGCTGGGCCCTCTGTGGCTATTCCGACAGGGCCCATAGCATCAGCACAATATTAGCCATGATGGCCAGGGCACTGGACTGATGGCAGTGACTCTAGTGTTCTAGAGTGTTTTCTAGGCATGGGCAGACCAAATTCCACCTCCCTTGCTGTCCTCACTCACAGCAGAAGCACTAGCTGACCCACCTTGTAGATGTCAAAGCCAATGGCCAGGTTCTCGCCCTTGCCTTCCCGGCGGGTAGAGCGCTTCGGCTGCTGCTGGATACAGATCAGCACTTCATCTTCTGGCTTCTTGACATCAAAAATGTACTGCAGGAATGGCCAAGGAGAGAGAGAGAGACACAGCAGTGAGACCGTGCCAAAGATGGGCTTGCTGGCTCCCAGAGAAGCTTGGACTCTGGAGGTTGGGCCAGGCACCCAAGAGGCTTGAACCCATTCTGTGGGCCTCAGTCCCTCCTCTGTGAGACGGGCATAACAGTGTACAATGGCTACCCTGCATGAGGCTGAGAAAGCTCCGTGAGACAGTGAATATGCAGCTCGGAGCCTGCACACAAATGGTGCTTAAAAAAGGCACGTCAAGCATGAAGACTAAGCTGCTGCATGGGTCATATCTGAGGAAGCTATAGGGCAGAAGTCACAGAGCCCCACCTGGCCAAGTCCCCAGGAGGGACAGAACCGTGCTGGGCAGAAACAAGGCGTTAAATCCCTAGGTCAGCCTCTAAATGTCCCTATAACTCAGGACAAGACACTCATGAGTCTCTCAGCCTGCCGTTTCCTTATTTTTACCATCTGCAGGTTCCACTGTGAGGCTGGGGGCCTTCATGACCCCCAGACAGAACCAATGTGACCATCCAATCCCCACTGTACAGATGGGCTTGCTGAGGCCAGGGGAGGGACAGGGATATACCAAAGATCACATAGAAGTTCCTCTGACAGGACATTCATTGGCAGGGCCTCCACAGCGGTTGCAGGAGGGTCCCTGAGAACGCCCACCTGCGGGTTCTGGAAGAAGGTCTCTTTGTGGTTGATGCAGCCCCCACTGCGGTTCTGTCGTGGGTCCTCATGCCGTGTCCAGGCGCCGCGTAGCCGTGCCTCCTCCCACGTCTTATGGATACTCAAGTAGGATGTGTTGATCAGGCGGCACTGGATGATGTCGGTAAAGTACTGGCACAGGTCCTCGAAGGTCATCCTGGGCATGGGAAGGGGCCAAGCCAGTCATTCCCCTGGTCCCTGGCCCACCAGCCTGCTGGCTCACACGCATGGGTGTGGCACGCCACAGACCTGTAACTGCTCTTTTGGCCTCAGTTTCTTCCTTTGTAAAACAGGGGTGAATCTAACAATAGCTTCCTACCTCACAAAGCTAGTGCAGGGATTAATAATGTGATTAAAGCACATAGTACAACTTTTATCAGATGGGCCCGTTGCCAAAGGCTGCTGTTATGCTTGTTAATAATGAATGTGTGCTGCTCTCTACAGTTTATAAAGCATGCTTCTATCCATCATCTGCCATGGCTGGGATGAGGCCTGAATCAGCTGGTGGCAGGAATCCTATGGTGAGTGTGCTGCAGTGGCCAGGGCATCACTATGGTCACATGCTCTGTGCACAGCTCCAGGGGCCTGGGCAGGGCAGGGGGAAGTATATTGAGTGTGAACAAGTATGAGAAAGGCCGTATAAAGGAGCCCTTTCTAGAGATGAGGGGTTTTGCTGCCCTAGCCAGACTGGCAAAGAGAATCTTGTCCACAGGCCCAGACCAGAGGGCCTGAGAGGCCATCTACAGCAGCTCCCCTAATGCCTACAGAAGAGGTCCTCCATGGGGCAATAGGAATACTACCATCTGCCTTGGCATGCCTAAGGACCCTCATACCCTGGATGCCCCATACCCCTCTAGGAAGTAGCTGAGTTTCCATATCAAGTGTTCTGCGTAAGAGAGGCTCTGAGCCTGGCTCACTGTCAGGACCAAATGCAGGTTGGATGACTGTAGGAGTGACTGGTGGCCTCCTTAATCTGGGCTGCTACCATCTCCCCAGCCTACCCCACCCACGTGCCTCCTAAGTTCCCCTCTCTTCTGTGATCATACCCTTCCTAAACCCAGCTGTGCTTTCTCACCTCTGGGCCAGGTCACTCTTTGCCCACCAAGGCTACTCTGCACCCCAAGTTGCAGCTCCTCCATGCACCTCTACCCTTCCCTTCTTAGCAATCAGGCTGCCAGCAGGCCCCTGACCTCTGGTCAATCCCCCTACCTTCTGGCATCCTGGCCAGCCTGCCAAGGTCTCAGCCTGTGTGCCAAGGCAGCCCAAGTCCCTTCAGGTGGGTACAGAACATTGTGGATGAATGAAAGGGCCCATTATGGCCCAACTGATTTTACAGAGGAGGAAATAAAGGCTCAGAGGATGGTGTCCAAGGCCAAACAGCAAACTGAGGATGGGGCCTGTGCTAGAGGCCTGGCTCCTGACTCCCACCCAACACTCCCTGCCAGACCCGTGGGAGACCCCTCAGTCCTGGACACCCAGGGCACACACTCACCAGAACTCGCCGTCGTCCTCCACAGTCACACCCAACTTCTCCCGCTCACTCTTGCTCACCTTCTGCCATTCCTCTGAGCTGGGATGTGAATGCCAGGAAGGGGAGAGGGAGTCATCTAAGAGGAGTGGCCCCACCAGGACACCCGACAATGGCAAGGAGGCAGGCAGGGTGGTTCAGCACCAGGCCTCCAGCAGGGCAGTGTGGCGAGGGACACCCAGGACCACACCGAGACCCTCTCCATAAACCCTATCAGCCCTTCTCACAGGGAACCATGGGCTGCCACCAGGCCAGGGCCCGGATGGTCTGAAAGCAGAGCTGCAGGCTGTGGGCGAGGAGGCACACTCCCAGTGGAGGGCTTCTTCAGTGGGCACCTGGGCTGTATGCCTCTCCTGGCCTCACCAGGGCCATGAGCTTAGCTTGCCCCCATTCACTCCCTGCAGCAGCCTTCCTCTCTGCCCCCTCCCCGACTCACTCACCAGACTGGTCTCTATGTCCCCCATAGGTCAGTGCACCCCATACACCCACTCAAAAGTAAGTCCCCCTTCTCTCTTCCCAATGTCAGCCTGCCCACAGATCCTTCAAGGCCCAGCCCCAGGCCCACCTCTTCCAGGAAGCCCATCCCATCTTTGTCCTTGTCCCCAGGCCTCACGTGTCACTCCAAGGCCCGTTCCACTCCCGCTCGCCCCAGGGGTTGCGAAGGCGGATCATGTCCAGCTTCTCTGACTTGAAGAAAGCCAGGAGGCCGTGGCCCAGGCGCACCTTGCGCACATCAGTGACGGCGTATGCATGGCCCTTCACCAGGCCACATGCCAGGCGGGCCTCCATGTCCGCCGCTGTCATTGCCTATGGGAAGACACAATGTCCAGTGAGGCAGGGCCATATTGGAACCCACGCCTGGTGGGACTCAGGTTGGAGCTAGAGCCAGGGGGCCACACACCCCCTCCAGGCCAGGATGGGGACTGCAGCCCTACATGAAGGTGAGTCCTTGCTCTGCCGTGATTAGGAACAGTGACGTGCACACAGACCATCACTAACTCACAGGGGCAGCAGTCTGCAGTAAAGGACGGCACCGGCAGGGGGCAGCCTGGGGTGTGCTGGAGCCGGCTGCTAACCACCAGGAGCTAGAAATCAAACCATGGTGGGGGTGTTTATACCACATAGGACAGCAAATTCTATAATGATGGACTTTTTTATTTCCCTAGTAAGCCAGTTTCTCAGCATACCACAGGGTCTGCTCAACTTGGGCTCAAATTGTGCCTTCACTGAGCTCCAGCTTTCTCAAGATGTCAGGAAAATCAGGGTCCTCCTGAAGCACCCAGCCCTCTGCCACACCCAGCAGGGCTCCCTGCCCTTTCCCAGGGGCCTCTCAGCTGCACAGATACCCACAACCCAAGGGGGTCAGAAAAAGAGGCTGGGCTTAAATGATGTGGGAAAGGCATTTGGCAAGCTAGGGGTCAGCACAGTGGCCTTCAGCTTGTACTGCCCAGCACTAGGGAGGGAGTTGCACCTTCCAATTTCTCCACTCCCCTATGAGACTGAAGGTCAAGCTTTAAGAGCTGACTGGGCATGGGTTGGCCTGGTATATCAGGCCACCTCCCATCCTGGTCAGATGAGTGAAGGGGAGGAGCCACCCCAGGATCTGCCTGTGTTCTCACCTTGATGGAGGCGCTGATGAGACCTCCCCGGCTGTGCACCTTTAACACACGATCAAAGAGCTGGTTCCTCTTATTCTCATCACTGGCAAAGTCACCCTCAGTCAGGTCGATGGGTTCGGAAACACCACCCGTGAAGTCCACCAGAGCATCTGCCGTGTTGCCTCCATCCAGCGCCTGGTAGCAGCCCGCCAGCCTGGGGAGCAATGTGGAAAGGACTCCCAGCTCACGCTCCCCAGCAGGTCTGAATTCTTCATCTTACATTTTTGATTTTTGAAACTCAGAGAGGTCAAACAAACTACTAAGGTCACACAGCAGGCCACAGCAAAGCCAACACTAGAACCCAGGTCTTAATTCCTGGGCCAGTACTTGTTCCACTAAAACACACTGTCTTTTTCTTTTCTTTTGAAACACACCATCTTATGGCTCACATTGCCCTAAGCCTTAGCAGCTCCACCTGCGCAAATTAAATGTCCAAACATACAGCAATATTTTCAAAAGCATTACCTCATATTTCTTTTACACCCTAATATTGGATAAGTACCATGATTTATAATGATATAAAAGCAGAGGTACCCTACATGTTTAGCAATAGAGAACTGGTTTGTAAAACTTGTGCTGCGTCTATACTCGGAACACTAAGTAGCCATGGGGAAAATCACTGGGAAAGCCTCCCCGTGGTGGTGGGAAAACGCTAGTGAGGGCTTATTATGTTTGAAAAAGCAGCACGGTCAGAATCCAAGTATGTTTAAACAACTCATTTAAAATATTTATTAAGCATCTACCATGTGTGACATACACGATGCTGGGTACACAGTGGAGGCTGCTTATTGAAATGAGCAGGAAAAGGCCTGCGGTGATCAAGGCATAGTGCTGAATGCAAATGAGAGAAGCGGAGTGAGAGATACAGCACTACACGCTCTGTGGAGAATACATGCCCACAGCACAGCAACACAGGCTTTGTAAAGTTACCTACAAATAAAAGTGCACCAGAGATGTTAAGAGAGTTGCCAGGGGCGGGAGAGGTTGGGTACAGAGCAGGAGTAGGGCCTTGAGCTGCCATGAACCAAGCTGTTCACCGACAGTGAAGGAGCCCCAGGAAATCGGATGGCCCAAAACACGGCAGGAGAAAGCAGGGGGCTGGAAGAATTGCAAGAGTATGGGAGACTTTCGTTAGCTCCTTCATGGTTTTCTATACTTTCTGGATTTGCTGCAATAGGCAGGCATTTATTTTATAACTTAAAAAGCCAATAATATAACAAACAAAGCATAAAATGGTGCAGCCACTATGGAAAACAGTTTGGCAGTTCACCAAAAACCGATCCACACACAGGTGTCTATTAAAAAGAACGGAAAGCAGAGACTCAGACATCTGCACACGCGTGTGTGCAGTATTATTCACAATAGCCAGAAGGTGGAAGCAACCCAGGTGTCACCAACAGATGACTGGATAAACAGACTATGACATACACAGATATATACACATACAAATGTACATATACATAGACGTGCAGTGGAATACTCTTCAGCCATAAAGAGGAATGAAATTTTGGTATATGTTATAACATGGATGGACCTTGAAAGCATTATGCTAAGTCAACATCCTTCTGCTTATTCCACTTATATGAGGGACCTAGAATAGGTAAATTCATAGACAGACAGGAGAATGGAGGCTCCCAGGAGCTTGGGAGAGGGGGTCACTGTTTAATGGGTACCGAGCTCCTGTTGGGAATGATGAAAAAGTTCTGGGTGTAGATGGTGGTGATGGCCCACAGCAGTGCGAATGAAATTAATGCCACTGAATGTAACTTACAGTTAAAATAAGAAATAGTATGTCTTGGCTCGGCGCCTATAGCTCGGCCGGCTAGGGCGCCAGCCACGTACACCTAAGGTGG